TCTTTAAGTTCATTATATTTGCATAAATTTAGTAGTTAAATCGAAAGCTATTAATTAATTGACAAGACAAATAAAAATTTTAAAATTATTATTTTGTTTATCAAGAATAAAATTATTGAGCATGCATTTATAAGTCTCTATTATAGCATTACAGCAATATAAAACTATCGCAAACTATATTCAATAATATATTAACTTATAGTGCACATTAGTTAAAATATTTATAATATATCACTAAAAAAATATGTGTGCATTATGCACAGTCTTGTATTTTTTTTGTGCGCAAAAAATTTTTTATGTGCGAAGCGCACATGTGCACATTGAAATTTTCTCTCTGATTGCACCACCTATAATTTCATTTCATATCTCTATAGGATGCTTCTCATCGATGCTGATTTTTACAAACCAATAAATAAATATTAGAGTTTGATCTAACTTTAGCCAAGCATTGTCCTTTATGTCTTTTGGCATAGGTAAGGGTTTTAGTATCAATCTCATTATAATCTTGCATTTTTATAATATGATTGAAGTCATATGATTTTTCAGATTTTTTTCTAATAAATTTAATGTAAGAAAGCAGAATATAAAAACTATATAATAAAAATATCACAAAGTACTATATAACTGCTAGAAAATAACAGCAGAGCTGATGCTAAAGCATACATATTCTCATTGATTAAATCAAATTTTCAGATTCCAATAGAAGGAATAGAAGTGGTTCCTGTTGTAGCAAGTACTTTAATGTCACCTCTATCAGCATATATTTTTCTTATCTTGTTGATTATTACAGTTATATGGTTTATAATATTGAGATGCATATGGGAATTGGAGAGGAAAAGTGATCGATTCTGGAATATATGGGTTGAATAGCCAGGTATTATAATTGAACTTGAATATTATTTATAAATGAAAAAATATAATTAATATTGTATATATATCTTAATAGAGTCTGGCAATTCTAACCAAGATTACTTAACAATATAGATCAACAATCTCATCAATTTCTGATTTGGATAGGACATCTTTTTTACTGTTTTGCATAATAGATAATGCTTGAAAATGTGCAATCTCAAGACTAGTTACCTTATACCATGTATTCCAGAAATCTATTAATACTTTACACTCTGATTCCAGATTATATCGAAATATATATTTTTCCAAAATTGTAATATTAGTCTTGTATTTTTGTGCTTGCATAATTAATTTATACAACCTATTTCTATATTCTATATTGAGCTTAGACAATTTTGAAAGTAGATCTGATAACTTTAAACAAATAGAATCTGCAATTTTATCTAACATATTAAGGAAATTATTATTGATCATGCCAGCTTTGCTAATATCAGAACATATTTTTTCTGCAAAATAGTAGTATCTTTCCATAAATGGCAGATAATGGCTTCCTCTTTTTTTGGAGCATTATGTAAGTTCTTAATATAATTTTTGAGCCATTTTTTAGCCAACTTCTGTAACTCTTTATCTTTAATTTTTGCTATTTCATTTTCATCTAGACTCTGAGAGTCATTGCTTTGCAATAAATTCTTAGCAATTTTTAATTTCTTCTTCTTGGATTTCTTTTTGCGATCCAAGACTTTTGAGAGAGATTCAGGTGATGGTTAGTATTTATCATTATAATTTATAAAATAGGCACAAAGACCAAATAGACTTTCGATATAATAATCAATATTTATTTTCTTGTTGAACTTTTTTACTACATCTGAGTATTCTATACAGTCTTCTTTTTGTTATGATATTTTTTTCTCACAGTTTTCATAAATCTCTTCAGGTACTACTACAATGTAACTAAATCTTTTACCAGGTTTGGGAATTTTATATAGGTATTCGTTAGTAGGTAAACCCTTCTTTATAAGCTATTGATTTTCCAATACTTCACAAGAATACTTAGCCTCTATTCATGAAATGAACCATTCTACAGAAATATTTCTCTGCTTACCTTCTTTTTTAAATTTCCATATACATGTCTGAATAAATTTATCATAATCTAACTTGAAAAGTTTTTTACATTTTTCTAAAGAACTTTTTTAACAATCTGGTGTATTGTCTTTTCATTACTGACTTTCAAAGTTCTATTCATAATTTTCTTACCTACATCACAAAAGAGCTTAGATTGACCTCTTTTTACAATATCTACTCCTCTAATGAAAAGCTCACCTGAATTGAAATTTGGCTTCTTTTTATGCTCAAGACCATAGTATTTTTTCTTTCCTGTAAATATCACGAAAAATAAGACCTCCTTATATGCTATATTAAGATAAGGTGTCTTATTGTCTTTTTCAAGCTCAACATTTACTTTATCACAAAGCTTAGCTATTACACCCATAGATATTTTTATCATTCGAGACTAGTAATTCTCTCTTGAGATACCATTTTCATTATTATATGCTATATCACATTTCTGGAAATATTCTTCCAGATAGACAAGATATAAAAAGTCAGTATCTCCATATTTGATTTTAAATTCTTTATCTTCAACAAACTTTTTAATGAATTTAATATTATGCTGTCCAGCTGAAGTAATCCTACCTGCCAATTTAAGTAGAAAGAATGGAGAAATACTATTGCCTGCCTTACCGTAAAATGTATTCATATATATCTTAAAAGCATTTTGTTTGGAATTTATACAAGTATATTCAAAACATATAGAAGCATACTCTGCCTCATTATAAAATTTTTCTATTTTTTCAAATGCTTCCTTTTTATCTTCCAATGCTTTAAGACAAGTCTTTATTTCAACTCGCTTGTTACATAATTCCTTCAATACCTTAGCATATTATCCTTTCTCTTCTTATTAATTTCTATGCTTTACAGACCAAGCAATAATTTTATGCTTATTTTCTTTATCTTCATTAATCGTAAATTCTATCCTATAAAGCTTTTTACCACTTTGTGCTACAGATATAGCCTTTTCATAATTTAAAATTATTTTTTTGTGTGAAAGATTGTAGGTTATAATAAGACTTGAATATAATGATGCAAAATTCAAACCAGTGACAGGTCACTTATTTTCAAGACCTTTTATAGATGGAATTACATAAGCTTCAGGAAATCCATCCTTTCTTCTAGTTTATATGAGATCATACTAACCATTATATTCTGTTTCCAAGCTTCTGCACTGAGCAGATTACATACTCTCATCCCTCTCACATAGTAATAAGCATCAAAAAGAGAAATATATGCGATAGATGCTACTTCTCTATTATCATTGATTACATTATGCTTAACTATAAGCTCTTGGCACTGCAATGCATCTATAACACAATAATTTACAACTTTACACATATTTTTAGCTAATATATCAGAGAGGTAGAGTATTGCATCTTCATATATTTTGTTCATAGTAGTTATTGGCATATCTGCCTTACTACTCAATCTACATTCTTCCAAATAATATTTCAGTGAACTTGCTTCTGATTTTTGGTATAACTTTTTGAAGCAAACATGAACATCAATAGGTATACATCCTGAAATTTTAAGATACTTTGAATAAAATTTTTCATCATATATCTTTACCTCACTTTTTCAATAGTTCCATTTTAGAATTTTTTTAATGTTTGATAATTCAGATGACATATGATTATATATCTATTCAAGAATATCTAAACTTTTGGCTTTTTCTATAATAAAAGGCCAGTCATATTGTGAATTATTAAAACCTATCTGTATATCAGGAGCTAAATTTTTCCAACATAATGCAAAGGCTTTCAGTAAGTTAATTTGGTTTCTATATATTACTGTAATCCACTCAGAAACTGGTTTTGTCTTCATATTAACCAAACATATTTGCAATAGTGGTTTGGGGTTATCTTTCTAATAAACTGTTATACAAATCATAAATACTTGATTCTTTTTATTTCTTGCATTAGGTAAATCTCCCATTTTGTGACCACTATATGGTTCAATATCCTAGGTGAGAACAAGAATTCTGTCATGTAAGAGAACTTTGAAAATTATCAGATTATTTGATTTATTTTTCCCTAAAGGTCGATAATTATCTACAGATACACAAAAATAATAGAAATAATGTGATAAGTTTGTGCTAAGATTATAATGATAATCATTTAATATTGCCTACTCAGAAAGAGGTAACATTTTTTCACGAGCTATTTTTTGATAATAATGCACATTGGTAATATCATCTGATGCTGTTTCAATGCCATACTTACGTATCTCTTTTAAAATTCATGTTCTATCATAATGATTTCATGTAATGATGCAAATGTATATCTTTTTCTCAGTATGGCAATCACGAATTGGATACACATGGATAACTTTTATCCCAAATTTCGATTTATCAATCTTTTCTGATCCTAATATAATTTTTACTAATCTTGGTTTGAATATAGATAAAGGTTCATTATCAGGCATGGTGACATCAAAGAAGAGTTTGATGCCTGTAATGTTTACTCTAGCCTTTTGCCCATTAATCAAAGTGCTGTAAATACATAGAATATATATAGATACTCTATTTATATATTCAGTTGCATCACTTATATCATTGAATATGAAGTATATAGATTGTTTATTGGATAAATTTTGTTGGAGTATAGCTGTTAACCCATTATTGCATTCTGAAATAATATTATTGTGAGTTAGAATCCTGGCTAAAGTTTTCTCACCCCCATATCATGTTTGCTATATGCTTTGTTTACTTATTTTTGGTATTTTGTTTTTTATTGGTATATATTAATCTTTGTTCGATTATATTATTACAATATAGTTTGAAAAAGTTTAAATTAATTTTTTTTTTTGTCTAGTAAGAGATGTCAAAAAAAAATGCATCAAGTTTTAGTGAGATGAATAAAAAGAATTGCAGTCTCGATTAGTGAATTACTTTAGATATATAACTTTAGTAATAGATTATGAGTGGTAGCTAACTTTAGTAATATTATATAATAAATATAGGAAAAGGCTATCTATTTCTGAAGTATGTTTTCGAGTATGTCTTTATGACATTTATTTGATGACATATTTTAGGTAATTTTTTTTTTTTCAGTATTAAGGTGACCTCTTTGGTCTAAACTTTTTATTAATACTTATAGCAGGTATATGTTTTATATAGATGTATCTATAATGAACTATTAGACGAGTGTACAACT